ATTTTCGTCCAAGTATCTCCATTTATTTGTGAAATTGCTAAGCCAAGGATGCCAGTTTCCCACGTTATATTATGCGCCCCAGTGGTAATAAATTGAGCCTTGGGATCAAATTCAAAAGTTGTATGATTCAAAGCCCAAATGTTTTTTCCGTTAAAAACGATCAATTTCCCGATTGCGTTGGCTATGTACACCTAATGGAAATTGATTTCAGTTTTTTCATTATTCAAAGTATATGTAGAAATAGTGTCAAAGAATACTTATTACTGTAGTATTTTCGCAACGGGGCCCTTCTGTTTCAACGACTGGGGTGGAAAGTAACGAATCTCCATTCTTGTCTCTTGCAATGTGATTAGGTATCTCAATAGTTCTTATATGTTTATCGGTGTTCAAATCAAAAACAACTAGCTTTTGTGGACAGTAGCTTGTTTTTGACCACCAGCCTTTGTATCCAGTGTCCAAAACCCATAATCTATTGCATTTGTCTATCTGAAAAAAATTCAAATTTTTTTCCAATTTTTTTTTTTTTTTGTCTTAGAAGGGTATGCAATATTTACTGTCATTTACCTCGATTCTGTAGACGTTTTGTAAAGTGTTGCAATGATTAAATTGAAACCATGACCAGTCCGGGTAGGGCTTAATCAAGGGTCCCCATTGTCCCGTGATATTGGTAACTGTACCTAAAGTTGCAGGTACGCCCCTGATTCTGGGAAATGATACGAAAACTCGACCGGCTGTTTTAAGTTTACGTGATTAAAATCAGTTACCTCAAAATTTTTATTGAATAATATAATATTGAATTTACCTTGATCTCGATCAACGTCCATGGGAATGACTGAGGTAGGATCATATTTTTTAGCTTTCAATTATCAAAAATATATTTTAGTACATAAGTGATCGTGGGTGAATCATGATAAATTTTCTACTTAAAAAATAGTCTTGAGCAACTATTCCCTAAAATAGTAAAAAACAAGGATTTAAGAATCAATCCCAAAAATTTACATTAAAACTTACTTACAATGTTTGTCTTATTCAGTTCCCTGTATCGATTATAGCATCCTATGGCATTTTCCTTTGTCAGTCCAAAGAAAAGTGTACCTTGGCTCGAAAATGCCATGGCCACCGCTTGACTGGACAGAACGTTATTATCCCCAAAATAATTAACACTATTACGCAAATAAACCAAAAGAGTTGAGTGGACGGTAGTACAAATATTTTGGTTCATCAGGGTAGACTTGGGGTGAAATTGCTAAGCCAAGGATGCCAGT